GATGCCCTATGACCCAGCCATCCCACTACCGGGAATCTATCCAACGAACCTGAAATCAACAATCCAAAGAGGCTTATGCACCCCTATGTTCACTGCAGCATTATTCACCATAGCCAAGAAGTGGAAGCAACCTAAGTGTCCCTCGACTGACGATTGGATTAAGAAAATGTGGTATATATACACCACGGAATACTACTCAGCCATAAAAAAAGACAAAATCGTCCCATTTGCAACAACATGGATGGGCCTGGAGCGTATTATGTTAAGTGAAATAAGCCAGAAAGAGAAAGACAAACAATGTATGTTCTCACTCATATGTGGAATATAAACAGACACATGGACAGAGAAAACTGTACTGTGGTTACCAGGGGCAGTGGGGGTGGAGGGTGGGCACAAGGGGTGAAGGGAGTCATATATGTGGTGATGGACAAACAAAAACGTACAACCCAAAATTTCACAATGTTAAAAACCATTAAAACATCAATAAAAAATATATATATATGCATTTGGAATACATCTCACATTGGGAATGAAGTGAAATTACAAAATATCTGTTAAAAATTACATTGGGAAACGTGGGATGCCAAAGTAATAGTCTGTACCCTTTTTCAAAATCTCCTTGTAAATAGATATGCTGGCATATTTTTAATACAGAAATTATACAAAATTAATTTACACAAATATAAAGAACTGGGTGTCATTCCTTTTCAGATTTAATTACTTTTTATAGCTAAAAAAGAAGAACTTTCTAGGAAAAAAAAATATATATGAGAAGGTTCTTCAGAAACTAGAAAAATCAGGTCCTCTCTCTCCTCACAAGTACCTCTACAGTTTCCTCTTTCTGCATCTCTGTGGCACTCAGTGGCTGTAGTTAGGAATGGTTAGATTCCAAACCCTCCTTCAGAAACCAGCTCTTCAGGGGCATATTTTCTTATAAAATGGTGCTCTAGGCTGTGGCGATCCTTTACTTACAGTCTTAGAGTAACAGGGTCCCGTACAGCCTAAGCAGTGTGTGGTTCTGGCAGGGACTTTCAGATGCAGGACAGAGGCCACCACGGGGGGGCCCGTGGATTGGCTGGACCAATCCTGGGCTCTGAGGGAGGTGAAGGGGATGGAGGAGAACAGGTAGCAACCGACGAGGAGAATGAAGGTGGAAGGGAAGTCTCTATAGAGGCACTGAAGACAGGCACGCTCCAGCAGCAGGCTGTGGAGAAGATTTTGAGGACACGTGCACGGTGCATCTGTGCTGGTCTGCACCACGTACTCTGTCCTCACTGCCTGTCCACCAGGGGCACTGCGCAGCTGTGCTTGGAGAAGCCGCAGCACGCCTACTCACAAACACCCTCGCAGTCCATTCAGCCTCAGCAGACCTCGCCCTCCCTTACCCTCACAGTGCATCTTCCTGCCAACAACCTCTCCCTGCTTTGCACCCTAGTCTATCTGTGGTATTGACAGAACTACTTCAGGTAAGACAAAAATCTGATCACATAAAGTCCTTAGTGTGACCAGGGAAAGCAGAACAAGACAAGACCAGCCCCGTCCCATGCTGGCCCTGCCTCTCCTCCACCACATGAAGCTTTTACGACTGCTCTGGGCACCTGTGTGATTTCCCACACGCCCTTCCACCCATCTGGAAGGCCTTCGCCAACTCTGCCTGACAAATCCTGACACTCCCAAGGCCACCCACCACTGCCATCACTGGCTCTAGCCCTCCAGCCCTCGGCCAGTTGTCTCTCCCTTCCCAGTCTGTGGCAATGGAAGCATCAAGATGTCTATCTTCTCCACTAGTCTGTGAGCGCTCCAAGCCCCCAAAGCTCATGTGCGTCATCTTATTTCCTCCTCAACAATGCTTTGAGGTTGACTCTGTTATTCCTGTCTTACAGATGAGAAAACGGAGGACCCAGACAACAGGTGACTTGTTAGACTCTGCTTTCTTCACTCACTTCTCTCCAGCAAATCACAACTTGAGTTTTGTTCGGTACTAACCCTAAAAGGAGATGCAAAGAACAGAAAATCCAAAAGGCCTCAACAATGAACAGAGTTCAGTCTCATGAGAGACAAGGGGATGTGAATGAAGCAATGAGGCCGTAGTTTTTTTGCTGTTCATAAAAATCATAAAAAGATTCAGGAATCTAGTGGTGGGCAAGGGTAAAGGAAACAGGCCCTCTCAGACATTACTTTTGGAAGTGTGAATTTTTGTACAGTTTCTGGAAATTAATTTAGCAATATCTTTTAACATTAAAGATATAGAAACCCTTAGTGTGGCCACTTTGGAAAACATTTTGGCATTTCTTCAAAAAGGTTAAACACAGTGTTTATGTTTAACTAGCATATGACCCAGCAATTCCATTCCTGCATACATATCCTAAATTTGAAAACAGGTGTTCAAACAAAAACTTGTCCACAAATAGTCATAGCAGCACTATTTACAATAGCCAAAAAGCAGAAACACTCCAACGTCCATCAACTGATGAATGGATACACAAAATGTGATACATCCATAAAAAGAAATATTCAGTCATAAAAGGAAATGAAGTGCTGATACATGCTACATCATGGATGACTTTGAAAACATTATGCTAAGTGAAGGCACAAAATCACATAATGTATGATTCCATGTATGTGAAATATCCAGAAAAGGAAAATCTATAGAGACAAAAAGTAGATCAGTGCTTTCCTAAGATCAGGGTGTGGGGAGGTATGGGAAAGAGCAGAGTATAATGGTGAGTGATTGATAATGGGCATGAAGACAGTGTTCTAGAATTAGATTATAGTGATGGTTGCACGACTCTGGGAATATACAAGAACATTATAAATAAGTGAATTGTAGAGTATGTACGTTATATCTCAATAAATTTGGTTAAAAAACACATGAACCCTAAGACCCTGAAATCCTCCTGTAGGGAAATCAGCAGGGGTTGACGCAGGGAAGGGTGCTTATTTCAGCCTTGTTTATACCTGCAAAGAGAGAGGGCATCTTGGATGCCCATCTGTGGAGGGGCAGTTTACTCGCACAAGAGACTCTCGAGTTAGGTCCTATCTACCTGCGTGGATGGACGTCTCTGCTAGAGAACTAAGTGAGGAAAGCCCGTGACAGAGTCACACGAAGCAAATCCTCCTGTCTGCAAAGGCACACACATCCCTCTGAAGGGGCAGGCGTGTGTGCTCCTGTGTACACGTAGTCTAGCAGGGGGTGCCCAGGAGGAGAGAGCTACCTTTCTTTTTACTCCTCTTTCACTAGTTCCAATGGACACAGACACAGATATGCCTCTATGTAACATATGTACTTTTATCATTAAAAAATTTTATGAAATTAAAAAAGATAGTATTAACGCTATTTTCAGCTCCAGACTCATATATTCAAACAGCTACTGAAACATCTCCTTCTCAGATGTATCAAAAACACCTAAGCTCTCCAAGACAGCACTGAGATTGCTCCCTCAAAGCTGGCCCTTCTACCACATCCTACTTCATTGAAGAGCACCACCATGGCCTCACCATCTATACCAGATCTTAGAGCGTGCACATACATTCCACCCTCCATGGATGCCTTCCTCTGCACCGCATTCATTACCCAATCTGTCAATTTCCCTCCTAACTAAGTCCACTCCTGGGTTGGCTTCTCCACCTCACCGGCTCACTCCTTTAGACCGGTGCCTGCCATCCCACTGGCTAACCCCAAGGCTCCGGCCCCTCCGCTCTGCTTTGCAGAGATGGAAATTGGACCACGTGTCTCTCTGGTGAGATGACAGAGCGCACTCCTGACAGGGCCCACTCGCTGGCACGGCTGGCCCCTCCGGCCTTGTCTCAGGTCACCCTCTATACAGCTGCCTTTCTGTCTCCTTCCAGGCTCTAGTGCTTACCCACTCTGTCCTGTCAGCAGCCTTTATAAGTCTTGTTCTCTTCCCACCAGACATTCTTCCTGCCTCTAACCCTTCACCTAATTAGCTCCCTCCTACCCTTCAGATCTCGGCTCAAGGCTCCTGTCCTTAGGGAGACTTCCATGACAACCCTGACAAGGTGAGGTCCTGGTGACAGGCACTTGGAGCACTCAGATGCTGCAGGTCTATATCTGCCTTTTGCATATCTGACTGATGTCTTTGTATACAGACCATAAGTCTGAGAGGCAAGCACCTCTTCTGATTTTTTTTTTGCTGGGAAAGATTCACCCTGAGCTAATATCTGTTGCCAATCTTCCGCTCTCTTTTTTTTTCCCCTCCCCAAAGCCCCAAGCATGGTGTATATCCTAGTTGTAAGGCCTTCTAGTTCTTCTGTGTGCGCCGCTGCCACCGCATGGCTACTGACAGATGAGTAGTGTGGTTCCATGACCAGGAACCGAACCTGGGCCGCCGAAGCAGAGCATGCCAAACTTTAACTGCTAGGACATCAGGGCTGGTGCACCTCTTCTGATTTTGTTCCTTAGGTATCCAATGTTCCTTATGTATCCCTGGAACATGTCAGGCACTCAACAAATACTTGTTGCATAAGTGAGTTAATTAGTAAATGAATGTAAAATAAGTATGATACTCAAGAAAATATAAATACCATTTCCAACAAGATTGACTACCAACCTTGAACACTGCAAATGGAGTTGACCTGAGTGACAGAATCCAGTTCATCGAGCGTCACAGGGCCAGTCAACTCACAGGAGCGAGCACCAGAGGCCACACCCAAAGGGGGCTTTTGAAGCAAGAGGACAGTTCGTTCAACACAAACAATCCGACCTGCCAACAAAGACACTTCAGATTACTGAAGCACTGAAGAAAAAAGTGAGTTCTCCTGCTAGGAACCACTCCTGAGTAGCGTGCGCTGAGGGGCACAGCAGTGGGGCCATTCCTTTGTGTCCAGCGACACATGCACTGTGCAGAAAGGAAGCCCAAAAGCCCCCAGTGTGCTAAGCTGGAAAAGCACACAAATATTAGATTCAAATTCAATTCAGAAAGGTGAATTTTGTGGTATGCAAATTATACCTAAATAAAATTTTAAAAATACACAGTTTAGGCAAGATTCTAGTTTGATTCCTGGAAAAAAAAGGGCTGACTGATCTAATATTTATTGATCTAATGTTCAGAATAGTCTAGCTTTTTGTTTGTTTGAAAAAATGATGTTTCAGGCAATGGCTTCAGATGGCTTCTGCACCTAGAAAGCATGTCACCAAGACACAGTTCTCGAGTGGTCAATAGCATCTCTCATAGGATGTGTCAGCACTGCAGGGGGTTCTGGTTCTGTCTACATGGCCGTGGCAGGGGTGAGTGAAAGACCGAATCTGGTACCATGGGCCTCTTCCACTCCACATGCCATGTCCACACTGTGCTTCGTGAAGGGTCCAGCAGCTCCAGAGCAAGAGAGAGGCATCCAGAAGCTACAAGCCGTTTTATGGCATCTCTCAGTCACCACTGGATCACAGCTGTCGAGAAAAAGCATACCCTGGTCTCGGACGGTGTCCCTGAAGAGGAAGCTGTGGGGGGCGGCCTCGGTGAGCGCTTCCAGGACTTCTGGGTCCAGTACACACGAGGAGGCCACACAGACCGGTACGGTTTTGGGGAGGCCAGAGTTATTCTCATCCTGCACTTGCAGGGTGACATCAGTCACCATCAGCCAAATCTCCCTTTGCTCCCGAAGAAGCAAACTGTTTAGCTACAATTCAAAGACAGAGTAAAGACCGTTAACTTAATAGCTATTCTTATACCCAAAATTATTTTTTAAAAAGCAATAATCTTAGATGACTATTATTAATGCTAACAATTTTAGATATCATTTCAACAAATATTTTTAAATATACAATCGACTTTGCACGTCTTGGTCACTAGCCCCACCGACACGGCTGTGCCCTGTGGGCCTCAACCTTGTACCTGTCTCATGGGCTCCTCTGCTGGGATACAATCCACCCTGCCCTGGCACTCCTCTGCTTGTCCCCTCAGGAAACACTCATTGTTCTTTTCTTTCTGATCCTGTGTTCATATACCTAGAATGTTAACTATCATATTGTTTTATATTTAGTACATACACATTCTTCTCTCCTGCTAGATGTAAGCTTCCTGAGGGTTATGAACTGAATGTTTGTCTCTCCCTCAAATTCATATGTTGAAGTCCTAACCTCTAGTGTAATGATAACGGGAGGGGGCCTCTGGGAGGTAATTAGGTCACGAGGGTAGAGCCCTCATGATGGGATTAGTGCCCTTATAGGAAAAGACATGAGGGGCCGGCCCCGTGGTGTAGCGGTTAAGTGCGCGTGCTCTGCTGCTGGTGGCCCGGGTTTGGATCCCGGGCGTGCACTGATGCACTGCTTGTCAGGCCATGCTGTGGTGGCGTCTCATGTAAAGTGGAGGAAGATGGGCACGGATGTTAGCCCAGGGCCGGTCTTCCTCAGCAAAAAGGAGGAGGATTGGCACAGATGTTAGCTGAGGGCTGGTCTTTCTCACAAAAAAAAAAAAAAAAAAAAAAAAAAAAAGAAGAGACATGAGCAGGCGAGCTTCCTTCCTCTCTCTGCTCTCCACATTGTGAGGATACGAGATGTCCCTTTGTGAACCAAGAGGACGGCCCTCACCAAGAACCCGACCATGCTGACACTTTTGATCTCAGACCTCCAGCCTCCAGAACTGTGAGAAATAAATGTTTGCTGTTTAAGCCACCCAGTCTATGGTAGTCTGTTATAGCAGCCCAACCTAAGACAGTAATATATCTTACTGGCCCTCAGGCTTTGCACAAGGCCTTGGTACAAAGCAGGTATCAAATAATTGTATCTGCAATAGTTTTTATTTTTCTCCTTTTTTCCTTTCTTCTTCTATTATAATTTTTTTCATTTTTTTTTAATCTGCAAAAGTTGTAATGCATTTTAAAGATCATTAAAATGGCATTCTGCCCTTCCCGTTGGTCAAGGTTTAGGATTCAGTAGATGCGAATGGGGCCAAGGATTTCGCTAGGATGACCCTCGTGGTCATTAGAGCTGGGCTGTTGAGAACCTGGCTGGCTTGAGGTTCAGTTGGTGTTGCTGGTGTGAATGGCGTGGTCAGGTTGAGGATTCCACATGGCTGGTTGACAGGACTGGGCAGAGAAGGCGACTTGCATGGTCAGGAGCTGTGGGTTGGGACAGAGGAGGCAGCTCACATGGTTGGGAGGTTGACTGCATACAGGAAGTTAGAGTAAGTTATACTGAGGGAAATGAAAGCCAGGTTTCTCACTGTTGGATAAGGGAGTTATAAATGTGGAAATGGGGAAACCTAGAGTCAATTCTGTGGTAATGGTCTACAGTTGGAGGTATTGGTGTAAAATCATGATTTTAGATAGAGATAGATAGAAAGACAGAAAGAAAGAAATAGATATGGATTTATGTGTATGTGTGCATAAGTAGACACACATAAATTTTCTTGCTCTGTCCACTGAGAGGGCCTAGAAGCAATGAAATTCAAGTAGCAAAGAGCCCACCTAGTACGCAGATGTTGGCTTCCAAATGCCATTCTCTATTAAAATCAACCAGGGCTCCTTTAAGAGATGGCTGATTCCAGAGCAGAGAAAACACAAGATGAATCTGAAACATCTTATTGTGTCAGAAAGTACTCAAAGAATGATGGAAACATGTCTAAAGGACACAGGAGCCAGCTTGAATCTGGGAAAATGTGAGCATCAAAATAAATGATAGTAACAGATTACAACCCATTGAATAAAAACTGAATCCATTGGTCCATACTGATATAAATTAGTGAAAACATAAATAAATCAGGGAAATGAAAAGCTCCTAATTATAGCCCAATGCCAACAAATACATGTAGAAGAAGTGCTGGAATCAGAAAATTTCCATTTGGCCACCATCAGAGTAATAATTCAGGCAAGAATCATATGGATGTTAAAACAACTGGGTAAAAGTTTGATAAGAAATAGGATATTTATACAGTCTCAGTGTATCTTCCCACAAAATACTTGTTTCATAGTTATTAATTAATAAATGGTGTCTATTCTTCAAAAATGTCAAGATCATAAAAGAAAAGATGAAGAAATGTTTCATCTGAAGATGAGAGAGACATGGCAGCTAAGTGCAATACATGACTCTGTATTGGACCTTGGAGTTATAAAGGAATTTTTTGGGAACAATGGGAAAAATTGCATTTTAAAAAATGGCAGACATCTCAGGAAAAACAAAGATTTCTAAAAGATTATCTGAGGTTGGAAGTTCTTCTGACAGTCTTCAAAGATTTTAGATGTTCTTTGTAAATACCCTGGATTTGGCTTATTGTCTCTTTTTAAATCTCCTGATAAACCAAAATGATCTAATTTCCTTTGAAATTAACTATCAAATTATTTTCACCACTGGGGTTATGAACAAAGTCACTAATAATAAAATCCTCTATAAAAAGATACAAAAACCCAACTGATTCAAAGCAGTACTAGCAATCTTATTGCTAAAATTTTATTAAAAATAGATCTCTTCAGGGCCCAGCCTGGTGGCGTAGTGGTTAAGTGCTCGCGCTCTGCTGCAACGGCCCGGGGTTTGCAGGTTCGGATCCCGGGTGCACACTGATGTACCGCTTGTCAAGCCATGCTGTGGCGGCGTCCCATATAAAGTAGAGGAAGATGGGCACGGATGTTAGCCTAGGGCCAATCTTCTCAGCAAAAAGAGGAGGACTGGCAACAAATGTTAGCCCAGGGCTAATCTTCCTCAACAACAACAACAAAAAGATCTCTTCCACACAAATATGCCCAATTAATTTTAGATGAAGTTGTGAAAGCAGTTCAATGGATGAAGGATAGCCTAACAACAAATAATGCTGGAATGACTGGACATCCATAGGCAAAAAAATGAACCTTGACCAAAACCACACACCTTATAAAAAAACCAACTCAAAATGCATTGTGGACTCAAATGTAAGATTATAAATCTTCTAGAAAAAAACATAAAAGATAAATTTTGGGACCTGGGATGAGGCAGAGAGACTTGGCTTGTCTTGGACTTGACAACAAAAGCATAATCCATAAGAGGAAAAGTTGATAAATTTGATCACATAAAAGTTAAAAACTTTTGCTCTGCAAAAAAACCTGTTAAAAGGATGAAAAGAAAAATTGCAGACCCTGAGAAATATCTGCAAATCACATTATCTGACAAAGGCTTTGTGTATAGAATATATAAAGAACTTTTAAAACTCAACAGTAAACAAACAACAGTTCAATCAGAAAATGAGCAAAAGACATGTACAGACATTTCACCAAAGAGGAGATACAGATGGCAAATAAACCACGAAAAGATGAACATCATTAGTTCTCTGGATGAATCTCTAAAGAATTACGTTAATTGAAATAAGCCAATCTCAAAAGGAATTGTTATAGGTTAAACTGTACCCCTTCAAAAAGATCTATTGAACTCCTAACTCCAGTTACTCAGAATGTGACCATATTTGGAAATAGGGTCTTTACAAATTTATCCAAGTTAAGATGAAATCATTACAGGTGGGCCCTAATCCAATATGACTGGTATTCTTATAAAAAGGGGAAATTTGGAGACAGGCAGACACAGAGGAAAGACCACGTGAAGACACACAGGGTGAAGACAGTCATGTGACCGGAGTGACGCATCTACAAGCCAAGGAGGGCCAAGGATTGCTGGCAAACACCAGCAGCTGGAAGAGGAAAGAAAGGATTCTCCCCTAGAGCTGTCAGGGGAAGCATGGCCCTGCCAACACTGATGGCAGATGTCTAGCCTCCAGAAGTGTGAGACAACAAGTTTTCATTGTTTTAAGCAATCTAGTTTGTGGTACTTTGCATGGCAGACCTAGGAAACTAATACCGATATATACTTCATGGTTCTATTTATGTAACCATCATAAAATAACATAATTTAATGATGACAACAGATTAGTGCTTGCCAAGGGTTAGGGATGGGGAAGGAGATGGGTGTGGCTATAAAGGGGAACATGAGGGAATCTGTGGTACAGTTGAGTATATTGATTGTGGTGGAAGTTATACACGACTACACACGTGACAAGATTGCATAGAGGTACACACACACACAAGTGCTCATATATATGACTGGTGAGATCTGAATCAGCTACGGACTGTGCCAATGTCAGTTTCTTGCTTTTGGTATTGTAGTGTGGTTACTGTGGGTATGGGATGTTGATATGCGGGAGGGTGCACAGGACCTCCCTATACATTTCTTCACAATCTACTGAGTCTAAAAATTTTGAATAATTTTATTCAAAATAGAAGTTAAATACAAAAAAAATCTCTCTCTTTCACTTTCATGACTTAGTCATTAGTATAATGGAAATACAACTGAATCTTTTTCTGATAACTCAGGTTCTTACACTGACTCATGGTGCCACTCTAAAAGTCAACCATCACTGTAGAATGTGTAGGCAATTGGCTTAGCCACAGAGTAGCCCCAGGACTTAGCTTATTTCAATTCCTCTCCAAGGAAGTTGGTTTCTGGTGATTCTCTTTCCCACAAAAGCAGAATACAGGAGATATAAAGAATTTTAGTGAATTGAGGAATCTGTTCAACTGGGTTCTGGGTCCTTGGCTACTTCCTAAGTACCACCAATCCCAATACACATACTCACTGAAAGCCATGCTCACTGGCAGGCTGCACCTGCACTGATAGAAGCCTGTTTCTTCGCAGAAAACTCCGGACAGGAGGGGATCAGTGTTTTCAGCCAGCCCTGAGGCAGGGCTCCTTCACCCAGAGAGGCAGACAACCTGCAGTTTGTCCTTCTCTGCCTGAGGGCTCCCCTCCCACTGGGGCAGATGGTTGAGGCCTGGCTACGCTGTGAGCATGTGACACCCGCTTTCTTTATTCTCCACCTCCTGTCTTGGCTGGAGGACTGTGGGCAGGAGTATGCGGTATCACAGCCGCAAGATTGCTGTTTGCGCCCCTGAGGACAGCATTCCACCGGCAGCGTAAAGGGCAGCTGCATAGTGAACCACTGCCTGATGTCACAGCCCCACAACCTGGAATATACTTTAGAATAATAAGATGTGCCAGGTGTCAAGCGTGTCAACACACTGAGTGTCCTGCAGACGATGGGCAGAGGAGCACACAGTCAGCCTTTGGTTTGCCTCAGACTTGAAAAGTAAGAGAGACATCAGGTGCCCAGATCTTGTGCTCCCTGGGGGCCCGTCCTCCTGCCTGTTGAGCCAGATGCTGGGATGGCTCACAGGGAGCTCTGTTGAGTGACTAATGTCAATCACTCACTTATTCCTCAGGAGAGACACTAATTAGCTGTCAAATGACTAAAAGGTGAACAGAGAAAAGGTTTTCCTGTGTCAGGATTGAAGAACAGTATGTTCTATATAACTCTCAGGTGACTGTGATTTACATGGATGTTCCTCTGAGTTAAGGTCCAGCAGAAGTTTCTTGCAGAACTTATGACACGTGTTCAGCTTGCCAAGAACATCTCTTTCCCTTGTCTACTCCTAGCTGATCTGCTGAGTGGCAAGGAAGCAAACAACACGCTTCTCTAGGCTGCTGCTCCCTAGAACTACCCAAAGCCTCGCAGGGACCCCAGAGTTTCTTCCCAGTGTTGCAGGCTCTCAGAACTGCTCAAGAGCTCTGAGGAGTAGCCGAGCTCAGTCCTGAGATTCCCACTCTCACCCCCTAAACAAGGTTTCAGCTTCTTTTTCCTTTCTTTAACGTGCCTAAGGAACATATTTCTGGGCTAGGAATCTTTTGGGGCAGGGTTATGCCTGGGCTGTTTTAGACCCCAGTACTTAACACAGTGGCTGGCAGTCCACACCTGCACAAGGAATGGATTTATTATCGTTTCAGCATGGGGCACACATAACTGGACTTTAAAAATGCTTTTCTATTTTGGTACTCCATTAATTTCTCAGAGATTATCCTTTAATAAACTTGATAACACCTTATACATTAAAACACCTTATGAGAAAGAGAGACAGAGAGAGAGATTACCTGTGGTCTTTGATAAATCACTCTGGCATAGAAACTGCAACGGGTACTGAGATCATCAGTCTGGAAAGGCATTGAAAAAGATAAGTAACATCACACAAAGCACACAAATACAGCAAAAGGAATTGAAGACCTTTTTAGAAACAAAGACGTTACCTGGAGAATTCCTCTTAAGGAGCGAGGAATTGGAGGCTGGTAAAGCTTAGAAATGGGGTCTTCTTCAATTATATCAATTTGTCCCAGATTTGGATGAGCAGTGAGGATGTAACAGAAGCTAGGAGGAGGCAGATGAGTTTTTACCTGTTTAAAACAAAGGCAAAGGTGGAATGTGAATTTACTATTAAATGACTCGAATACACTGTTAAAATCTACTCTTAAATATATACATATTTACTCATAGATGCATACTATATCTCTGGAAGGCTATATAAAGAAATGGATTATATTGTTTATCTCTGGGACCAAGTATAAAAACTTTTGTACTTTTGAATTTATTACCCATTCAAGCTTTCATTTTGGAGATTTATTCTTCAGAGTATACTGAAAACACCATTTAGAAACTTCTTCCTATTAAATAATCTAGAAATGGGCATCTTTGACCACCATTTTGCTAGTCTAGCACAGCACACAATCACAGTCTTAGATCTCTTCTCAGAAGTCAGCTACGACATACACGAGACGGCCCCAGTGTGCAGCCTTGGGAGCTATGGCTCAAAGCAGCCGCTGGCCAGCCTGCTTGCTAAGGCTCAGGGATGGAGAGGAGGGGACACCTTTTAATCAGTCAATTTTGCTACCTGTGAGCAACTACCAGAAACAATTTGATGAGTCAGGAAAATGAAAATTCCTGGCTAACCTGGTGGTTACATGAACATCCACGGATTTTATTTATTAGGTTATGTGAATTTCTGCTCTAATTGGTAAACGAATGTTGGTTCTACCAGTGCCTGAAAGGTGGTGGGGAAGACACACTGTGTCTTGTTTAGTACGAGGCTAAGGCTCTCATTGTTGCAATGGCATGCAATGACTGTGGTTTAAAAACGTCACCGTAAATTAACTTCAAGAAGAATGTAGCGTAACAAAGCAGAAAAAGCAGCCAAAGCTTGGACTTCGGAGGGAGACAAATGAGTCTGAATCTCTGTCCTGGCTCATACTCACTGGACCTGGGACTGCAGGGGTGGCACCTGGCTCAGCACCTGGCACAGAGCAGGCCAGTCAAGGGAGCTCTTCAGATGCTGGGCTTACCTCTTCACAGGCTTGCCTGTGGCCAGGTGCTTTCAGAGGTATCACTGGAGGCCACATGATGTCAATCAAACTGAAAAGCCCTGCTGTCCTGGAAAAAGAGAAGATGCTGTCAAAGGTATTCATCATTAAACATCACTTATTAAGTACCTGGTCAATGAGCTGGTCATATGTAGATCTGCTTAACTGACACCATCCCTAATCCCAAGGAGCCACCATTTGGGATGAGTGGTGACTCAGATGGGAAAACAGACAAACAAACCTTCAAACCTGACTGCACAAGAAGAAGAAGATTGTTAATTAAATTATGCTACATCTGTACAATGAAATATTATACAATCTTTGAAATGGTTACATAGAAAATATTTAAGGACATAGAAAGATGTTTATGATACCTTGCTAAGTGAAAAGCAGGTGACAAATTATAATGTCTCTATGTATATGTCTGTGCATGCACCTACATATAATAGACCAAAGGAAAAGAAGACTGAAAGATATAAAAACGTTTTTGGTGGTTATCTGAGTGGAGCTTGGAGGTGATATTTACTTTCTTCCTTTGGCTTATACGTATTGCCTATATTTTTCCAAAACAGATATGTGTGTTACTCATATAATAAGAAAAATGATCAATAAGTTATCTAAAGTAAAGAATATAGCCAGATACAAAAGAACAAATACTATATGATTCCACTTATATGAGGCCCTAGAGCAGTCAAACTCTCCAGAAAGGAGAAGGGTGGTGCCAGGGGCTGGGGGAGCGGCAACAGGTACTTAGTGTTTAATGGATATGGAGTTTCAGTTTGGGAAGATGAGAAAGTTCTGGAGATAGATGGGGGTGATGGTTGCACAACAATGTGAATGCACTTAATGCCACTTGTCTGTACATTTACCACAATAAAAAATAATCCTGCTTTAGTTACAAAAAGAAAAAAAAGAAAATATATCACAAAGGTTTCTTAGATTTTGCTTTAAGTTTCAACAATGTTAATATATAATATATTGTTTACTTTTTTAAAAGCTTGTGGCCTTAATTAATGTTACATATTCTTATTTCTTTCAATAGTTCATAGCAAGCACTGTAGGGATCTAGCAGTTAACAAAACCAAAAAACGCAGAACCTGAAAATGAAGGTCTTAGCATCATACTAGAACAAGACACAAAGCGTTTCCCCATCTCCTTTTGGCTCCTCACACCAATTACAATGGAAACACCCCATACAGTGTATGGCCTACTGCAAACACCAAGAGTCAATATCAAGTTCTGGGTCAAAATCTAGCACAACAATAACCAAAGGCGGAAATCATATGCTAAAAAAGAACTGCCCAGTGAAAATTCACTCTCTCCCTCCCCGATTATTTTTGAGAAGTGCTCTGCAGCAGCTGTGTGTGTGTGACAGCACAGGGCTGGGGGACCCAGGGCTGGGTGAGGTCAGGAAGAGCTATCCTGGGAAGGTTCAGGTTAGCCCATTTGACCTCTTGCTGCCCTTCTCCTGATACTAAAGAGCTGGGTAGGCCTGCTGCGCCTCTCTTCCCCGGAGACTGTCCACTTGCTCCAGGCCTCTTCAAATGTCAACTTCCCCAAGAGGCTCTCCTAGAACATGCTGCTTACAGCTGCTCGCTATGTGCCCACGTGCTCGCCTGCGCCGTGGCTCACTTCTTTCCACTGAGCACAGCACCTGACTCATGTTCCACTCCTGTCCTCTCGCTGTCTGATGTAAGCTTCCCAAGGGGTAGGCACTGATCCGGTCCCCGCTGCGTCTCCACTGCCACAGAGAGGTGCCCAGCCCAGAAGAGGTGGTCAAAAGACCTGGTGAATGAATAACTGACACACACTATCACAAACACCTACATACTTCATTATAGACATCAGACCTGCCATATTTGATACCCTCATTTTCTCTCTGCAGTCTGGAGAAATGCAATGTTGGAAGGCAAACAGTAATTTTTTAAACCAATAAATATGCCCCAGGCTCTCGCCTTAGATCTGACTGCATTTCCAAGACAAAGCTAAGACTCTACTCAAGCCTCTTGTTTGACAGGGAGGGAGTACAGTATGGGCCTTTGAGTCAGACCTGTGTGAGCTCTAGTTCTGCCTTTTATACACTGTGAAATCTTAAGAAAGTCACTTAATTCTTGGACCTTCCATTTCCCCTTCTTTAAAACGGGAAGAAATCAGTACCTCGCTGTTGGTGTTATTGCAAGGAGTAAAAGAAGTAATGCATGGACAGCACCTACTAGGGTCTCTATGCTCAGAATAAGTACTCAGTAAATGTTAGCCATCGAATATTCTTGTAATTATTCATACCATCAGTGTTTAGGCTATTAACTTCTATGCTGTTTTTTGCTGAAAAATTTCCCAGTTGAAGACAGGATTTTAACCCCAGACTTACTTTGTGAAGGAACAGAGTAAAATTAAGAGTATGATGAAAAATGTGTAAAAAAAATTATCTTCTTTGTACAGAATAGAAAAATAAACAAACCCTTTCCAGATAATAACAGAATGCTTATCAATTTTCCTAAATTTTTTGAGTTTCTGTTTTGTGGAGTCCCATAATACTCAATGAAGACAGAGTTCTGCACTCAGAGTTGCCACGGGTGGCATATCTGCCACTCAAGTGGCAGACTCTTGAGAACGCTGTGTAAAAGACACCTGTAAAACTGGACAAACTGAAGTTTCTTCAGTTTATAACTATAAAACGTTTTTTGGTATAATCACTATTAATATCCCAAGGAACCAATATTCCCTTGGAATTTTCTTTGAGAAATGCTAGACTACGGACACAGCCTTAGAAAAGTTTTATTTGAATTCAATGATGTTTACTTACTTAGTGAATGCTAATGGCTAATTTTAAAAGTTTGGACAGATTACACATTTATATTTTAATGCAGATTCTTAGGTCAAGGATGTCCATGCATTAAATAAAATGCTTAGTCTCATAAAAAATCAGCTTCTCTACTGTTTTTAAAAATAGATATGGTTTAAATGGTTGTTGTTGCTTTGTGAACTAGAGCCTTCGTCTTGGGCACTCATTTAAATGACTCCAGCCTCTGGGCCAAACTTTGTGCTGAAGCTAACTTTCAGCACAGTGAAAGTGTATCGTTCTTCCCACTATAAGCCATTGCTTACTATTCATTTTTGCATATGGTTTCATTTTATTACACAGAAACTCATTCTTTTTAAAAAGTCTTACCTTTAAAACCTTGCAGGACATTTGGTCCTGTCCAAAATGTCCATCAGACATTTGGTCCACACCAAAAGGTCCTTGAAAACTGGTCATATTCGGTCCTTTTCAAAACATCTGTGGAGACATTGGGTCCAAGCCAAAAGGTCCTTGATATTTGGTCCTGTCCAAAACAATATGGCATGGACCAAATATGCTCATGGCCATTTTGGACAAGACCAAATGTCAAGGACCTTGTGGCGGGAGCCAAATGTCTTATAGACCAAATGTCTTATAGACCAAATGTCTTACGGGTGTTTTGGACAGGACAAAATGTCTGCTAATCCTTTAAAATATGTTTAAAACAACAAACAAGCTGTCTGACAGGGTAGAGGCCACCAAAAGTTTGTCTTTTCATTAAAAAAGTTTTAAAAATAAAACAAATAAATGTTTAATTAAAATAGAGAAAAAAAAGGACATACAGATTAAGTCACTATGTTTACAACATGATAAAAAATCTGAAAACTTTGTTTTGCCAGAATGAATTTCTTGGGATATATTTTAATTTACAGATTGCATAAAATGAATCTCCCCAAAATTTGGGTCATTATACTGTGACAATAAAAATTCACAGATAATTAATAGAAAATTATTTAATTATTATGTCTGCATTTGGAAAATGGAGCAGACAGAAAGGAAGCTGGACAAAGTTATCATTTTCCTACCTAGTTATTAACTTGATGGGTTTTGCAGTAGTCAGAAGCTCTCTGACAGCAGATTCAAGATAGCTTAGGTTCAGTAGGTGAAGTTAATAATCACTGAAGGGAAAACTATGTTTCACACCACATTTAGTCATGACTTTACGTCATGCTTTAAGCCGTCATCTAAACATCAGATGCATCTGAAGAACAGGAAGAGTGCAGGAGACCCTGGAAGCTGGTGCAGTCACACGTGGAGGAGGACGGACAGCATGGGTGCATGCGTGGACATCAGAGACTGCCCGAGAGGTCTCCTCTGGGCACCCACTTTGGGAGCTCTGGGCACAAGGGCTTGAAAGAATCAGCTGAAGAACATGTGGCTGCTTTTAGAGGCAGGAGGCACACTGCACAGTAGGAACTGGCTGAGCCCAACAAACTTTCTTTTTTTTTTTTTTTGTGAGGAAGATCAGCCCTGAGGTAACATCCATGCTAACCCTCCTCTTTGTGATGAGGAAGACTGGCTCTGAGCTAACATCTATTGCCAATCCTCCTCCTTTTTCTTCCCCAAACCCCCAGTAGATAGTTGTAGGTCATAGCTGCACATCCTTCTAGTTGCTGTATGTGGGACGCCGCCTCAGCATGGCTGGAGAAGTGGTGTATCCGTGTGCACCCAGGATCCGAACCCGGGCTGCCAGTAGCGGAGCGCACGCACTTAACCGCTAAGCCACAGGGCCGGCCTCCCAACAAACTCTCTTAAGCTCACATCTCAGGAAATCGGAAAGCTTCTATAGCTGTATTTTTCTATAGCTATATTTTTATTTACAGTAACAGATGTACATTTTAAATGGGAAGATAAGAAGGTATGCACGTATTAAAATTATATTTACCATACTGTACACTTAAAATGTTTAAAATTGTAAATTTTATGTATATTTTACTGTGAAAAATGAGTATCTAGCGTTTTGACTGGAGTCTCTAGGAGTTGCTGATAGTTCATGAGAAGAGTTATACTCCCTTCTGCACAAGATGTGATGCAATATGAACACCCAGATCTTTACTGTACCACAGGGATACAGAAGGTATGAATCCATTTTTTTTTAAATAATTTTATTCATTTATTTTTTC